CTTTCCCTCTTAATAGCGAAGCCTGTTATTAATCGCCTTACTGCTATGAAGGCCACAGGGAAGTGTGCACCTCTAATCAAAGGTTAACAAGCTCTGACAATTGTTGCTTGAAGTTCAGAAGTCCTTATGACAATATATTAATCCAATTACCTCTCCTCTAAGTCTCTTCTTTTTGCTGGCAGTTATAAAGTGACCATTTAAATTTTCCTTATTGAGAAATAACAACTGATCATTAACAAAAAGCAACTTACACTTTTTTCTAGCACAGCACGAGATGGAAAATCAATTTCTAAGAGGTCTTTCAAGTTTTGTAATAAACTGATTTCTGGATCCCTGCAGGTGGGAGAGAGGGAGGGAAAAAAATCAACACTAGGAACAGCAAATACCATCTCCCTTTCAAACCTGTGTTATTAAAGATGCTTACCATAAGTGCATGTTGTTGTTCAGCTTAACTCTCAAAGGGTTAACCGCTGCAAACAACATACATAAATAATTACATCATCTTTAGGATGCCCTTCACTCCCCAACCAATTTAACCTCTCGTATTTCAGCACTGAAGGGGAAGGCACGGGTTGGGCTTTTTTAATTATTTAAGGTATGTAATAAGTAAATGACTGCTCTTAGTTTTTAGTCTGGGGAATTCATTATGCTAATATTTAAAATACCACACTGTTGAAGATACAATTGTAGTTACCTTAACAAGTCGGCAGAAAGCTGTGGGACGCGGAGGAAGAGACTTAGACGTTTCCAAACGCGATTAGGACATATGTAGTAAAGCATCGGGAAAAAGCATCACTCACAGAGCAAACCAGCATGCTACGGATTTAGGCTGTTAAAAACCCCACCATCTACTGTGTAAAACTCTCCTACACACATACTCAGCTTAATTCCCAGCTCTGCTTAAGTAAAGTTTACCCCAGGAGTCTGACATAGCCTACACGAGTATCTGCTCACCAGAGAGTGAATTCTAGAAGAGAAACGGACGGTGTACGTCTACTGCCTTACCATGATCTGCTCCGAGAAAATAACACTCGGGGAGCATGTTTGGATGGCGAGGATCTACCTCTATGTTCACCGAGACATTGTTCCCTAAATGAGAAAGCAAATAAGTCACAGGGGAAGCTTTTCCTTGCAATCAAGTATTTGAAAACAGAAATATTAACCTTTTTTTTTAAAAAGCAGTTTTAAGTTGGTTAAATCAGGCTGGTTTTCATTACTACAAACAATAAAGAAGTTGGTAGGTATCCAAACTAATTGTACAAAATAGCAGTATCTATTAAATATTTAATTTTCAATGGACTGTAATTAAAAATAGCAACTGATTAAATAGAACTGCCAGTCTTGCATTTCTTATAGACTATAGTCTTAACACTTAGACTTGTTTCTGAATAACCAAACGCAGGCCTGATGCCATAATCCATTTGAAACCCCAGTGAAATGTTAAAGGTAGCAGAGTAATTGTTATTAATTCCTCATCATCTTTTCCCACCAAAAAGAGACACATAGAGGCAGTATTAAGCAGTCAAAGGCAGCCCCCTCCAGAGCCTAGTCCTGGACTGAGTGAACAAGGGTGTAGTTTTGAAACAGGAAATCTTTTTCTTTTACAAGATTCCCCCTCATCCTCCTAAGGCCTGCCATTTGCAAGGGGTAAGCAGCTCAAAAATGTTCTGGATCCAGGTTAGATTTTCTTTTTTTAATATTTTAAATTTACTTTCCTCCACAGCAAATTCCCTTCTGAATAAAACCAGGGGAATCCCAATATTTTTTGTAATTAAGAGGTGCATTAGGCTTACCCTTCTTGAAGAAATTGGTACAAATGGAATCAAAAGTTTAGGCGTAACTGAAGATTGTGACTGACAACAAAGGGCTCAAAGCCTTGTCCTGCCCTCTGCTGATCTAATGTGAGGCGCTTTTTGAGCCTTTTCTTTCCTTTTCATTGGTCTGTGTCAAAGTACAGCAGAACCGAGATAAAGCCACCCTGACTGCACATGCACGAAAAAAAGCAGCAGTGTCCGACCCTAGTCATTTTAGCTGGCTGCTGAACTTTCTGTCCCTCCCTCCACCCCCAAGGAAGGAGCAGCCTCGCACCCCATGAGCTCCTCTCCTTCATCGCTCCACAGGCAATCAGTATTTCCGCAGGTTTCAGGGACAACTGAGGTCTACTTTGGTCCGTTATATGTTCTCACATTTCTAGAAGATGCTGTTGGGATTTTGGATTTAAGGTAAAAAGTCAGCACTCTTCTGTCAAAGACAGCATTTCCCCCCACATTTCTAACCTCCACAGTGGCAAGTTCCTCCTTTGCAATTACAAGGCTCCTTATCTCCTATATATATAAAGACCTTAAAATGCCAGACATCAGCATATGAATTAAGATACTTTTTCAGATGGTTAACACTGTAACCCTCTAATTTCCTCTCTTCTCTTCTTTCTTTGGCCTTTCCAGCTGCCTCTTTTAATCCCCTTTTCTCCCTTTTGACTGCACTCTAATATTCCTTTCGCTCTTCCAGGACAGGATCAATCTACAGTAATAGCCTGTTAAAAAAATCTGGAATTTGCACGTGGGAGAAGGGCTTCATCTAAGCTGATTTTTCCCAAATACTGATTTCTTCTAGAGTTATCATGCACACCCTCAGTTTTTGACAGTTACATGTTCATAATTTAGAAATACACAGTATTTTCCTGCAGAAACTTTTGTTTTACCTAACACCATAAAGTTGTAATTAATTTCCGAAACAGGCTCAGTATTCTGTGGAAGGTTATTTTTTTAATACCCAAAGTTACGAGAGTTGTGTCTTGCTGGTTTTAAGCACTACCCTTGAGTTTTCCTAGCAACTCCCACAAGCACCATCTGGTTAGGTAAGCAAAGCAAAACCGCACCCCGAGTTTTACTTCTCCAACTCACTGTATTCCTTCAAATTTGTTCGTACCTATCGCAATTCTTCTTGCTGTAGCACTCCGTCTGGGATTTTCTGGCTCAAGCACCCATGTCTTCCCATCAATTTCGTCCATGGCATCCCAGAATTCTTTCAGCGATTCTAATGCCACCAGGAACTGGTTGTAGATGTCTACTAAGGAGTTCTAAGAAAAAAAGAAATTTAAACAAATTTCACATAGTTTCCACCTCTGGCCACATAGAGTATGTAGAAAACAAAGTGTAGGTGCTTTAAGAAGCGTTAAAATCCAACGTATGTATCCGCTTGTGTCATGGTAACATAAAACGCTGAACCTCACAGGTTTTTTCAGGTGACACAACACAAATAAAGAATGCACAGGTAAGTACTTTAGTCCTGGTGGTTTTAACACGTTGTGATATACGTACTTCATACCTGGATTTAGTAGCGGTTTATACGCCTCTTCAGAAAACTTTTCTGAAAACTGGTATCAACTATTAATTTGAGTTGTAACTTGTAACAAATGACTGTAAAATTAAAGTAAAAAGCACCTTTATCTACTATTAAACTTCTAACATTCTGGTATTTTGACTCCAGCTGAGCAACACGGCAGTGGCACCAAATGTAAATACACAGAAATACCCATATAACCAAAGCAGCTTATTTATTTCTTCAAGACTAAGAAATATCAGCCGAACAATGTCATAATTATCTCAAAATTGAGCAGTATAGAAACAGGTACTTAACACTAGCTTTCAAGCCATGTAAATACGGTAAGAGAGGGAGAAACCATCTAATAATCAGAGGATTACACTCAAGGGATTTCAATATTTGAGAGTGGATTAGCTGGAATCAGAAAAATCTTTCATTATACAGGACAATATGCAGAACAGCAACGTGGAAGGTGGCTTTTTAAAATCATCAGGGAGCACAAAAGTAACTATTTCTACAGGGGAAGGCTTCTTCAAGTAGAGGAAGCAGCCAGCAGTCAACACCCTTCCAAAGGCAGATGCCCGGGGGGTACAAAATGTGACTTCAGGGAACCACAATGAGGTGAAGAATGCAGGAGGAGCAAGGAGAGCAGTTCTGCCTGGAGTCATGCCCCATAGGGAACAGATGAAATCAGTGGAGGAACTGGGAAGTGCCAGGAAGGGCAGGAGAAGGAGGAGCCATCAGAATGTGGCTTCCTGGGGGGAGAGGAAGCCACCACAGGAAAAGAGTGGAGGTGTCAAGAAACCAGACACGGGTGGGGGCGAAGGGAGATCAAGGGTGGGGGGAAGGCTTTGGAGATAGGCTCTGCAGCTGTGTGGCAGTGGGAAACTGAAGCGTAGAGAAAGGAATCGTGTGGGAACACCAAAGGGTATTTTGGAATTGTTTACGCAGAACGCAACTGAACAATTAAATGCATGAGTAAAAAGCAGAAAGGACAGGAGAGAACTGACGAGACTTCTTCAGTTTGGATGAAGAGATGGTAAAGTATGCTTTGAAAAACAAGAAAGACGTAACAAGGGCCAGATCTCAGATACCTCTCAGCCTGGGAACAAGTTCTTGGGGTCAACAAGAAAAAGCAAATCGAATGTTCAGTTCTTAAAGAGGTATTTTTCTATAAGTAACACAAAATATACATGGAATGGTTTCCTTTAATCTTTAGTAATGATGTTCTTCCTTTCTCACCTGGACAAAAAGCAGTAAATGATATGAACCTTCTCAGAAAAATCGTATTTCTTCCTCTATGTAATAAGTTTTTATATTTTACGCATATGTATTTTAGAAACGGTGTAGCTTCGAAATAAAATGCTACATTTTTTCCTGCTGTTATTAAATTATATTAAAGTAGGAAAGCACTTAAGCAGAAAAGTGTGAATACTGCCAATCTCCAAATGTAACGCTTATTATCTTTAAAAGCATTTTGTTACTTTTATAATACCTGAAGTGATATAATAGTGTCAGTCACTTAACCACATCTTCGAGCAGAATATCTTCATCTTAAGTACTATTATTTCCAGTATTTTAATAATTTTCACACAGTCCTGAAATGTGATCTTTTGTGCTCTGATGACACTTAAATTAATAGCATAATTTTCTGGTACTTGCAACAGTTGCTTTCCATTTTGATTTTTTACATTTTTCTATATCACATACAGATAAATCCTCTAATAATCATTTTTATCTTTATCTTCTGGGAATTCAAAGGGTTTCACTAGAAAAAAGAAACATCAAGGGATTATAACCCACAGATAAGTTTTAAAATCCAATTAATTTTAATACTAATTGTAATTTTTCAATGATGTTCCTTAAAAAGGTAGTTAAATCTTTTTTTTTTTTATGCACTGTTCATTTGATCTTATTTGTATGCTTCATTGATGTTGCCAGCTGTCTCCTGCCATATACATAAATGCATCTATAGCTATTTAAATACATTGCATGCTTGTCATGCAAACCATGGGAACTGTAACGTTCCCCTTTATTTGATTAACCAACTCATTTTTGGTCGTTGCCCAGCACTTTTAGAAAAGACTGCTATCATGCTTTTTTTTTGGTCTACACCAAGACATTCGTTAATAATGTCAAACAGCACAAACTGTTTTGTTTCTTGGTTACCTTTGTATGAATACATTAGAATTTGTATGAAACGCATCAAATATTGTTTGGAAAAGGAGACGTTTACAACTGAGGATCTTGTCACTGGCTGCCCCGTCTCTAAAAACCACTATCAAAACCCAACTGGTTACTCTATCCTCTCGATCTGTTAGGTTTCCATGCTCATCAGGCAAAACATCCGTCATAAAAGCAAAGAACACCGTGGCAGTTTAATCTTTCACAACAACTTAAAACAAAAAGAAGATATTTTTAATGCATAATAGGGGCTGACTGAAGGATGCCTCAAATGTGAATTCATACAAAATAAGCAGCCGGAGCCAGCTTCCCCTCCGCCACAGCACCGAGGTCTGGAGAAAGCCTTACTATGCCAGGACAGCATCAATTTTGAGCGGGAGCTAGGTAAGTTTTTGAGAGAGATACACCACACAATTTAATGATCCTGTGTCCTTCAGCTCTCTCTAATGACCACCACAGCAACTGAACAGGCCAAAACCATCATGGAGTTTATCATCAAAACGCATTTTCAGATCAGATGGCCTCAGTCTGAGTTTTGATACGGAAAAATAAGAGACTGAGAAAATGTTAGTTTGTAATACTTAGCTCAAGATCCCTTCATCCAGCTCCAAGTGGCCTGTCTGTATTAGAGCATCACCTCCTGTGCCCACAGTCATAGCTTTAAATACTCAACACTTCTCCAGATTTTTCAAATTTCAAGTTGAGAGTGTAGAAAACAAAGAATACAATTAGTGATGACTTGTGAAAAGGGACTGTAAGTGACTCAGCACAGTTTTCTCTCTCAACAAAGCATATCTTCAGCCTCAAAGTCCTAGTTATTCAAGGCCCTACGAGGCAAAAATCTGATGTATACAGATACAAGCTGTACCAAGAGAGTCCTTTGGACTGAACGGCAATTTAATGTTCACTTGGAGGGCCATGATTTTGTGCCCTTGACTTCTGAAAACAGGTGTTTGTAGAAACTGAGTTAAATTTATAGGAAAACAGACATGTAAGCATACCGACTGTGTTGATTCCCCAGCAGCTTTAGAAAACTCTGACCCAGATGTTACCTTTGTGCTGTCAGACTATAGGTATCCTCCATTCATTTCAACAACCGGTAGGAGGTAGGAGACGAGGCACTTTCTTTGGTCAGTGACAATCACGATAGTCCAGACCTCTCTGCTTCTGAAGGGAACATACCTTCTCTTCCAGGCAGAAAGAGTCCCGTTTAATTCTGCAACATTTTTGTTTCCATTTTTGTCCTCTGCGCTCTCATCTTCATCTCATCCCTGGCAGCTCCTCATGCCAATTCTTTCCCTCTTTTTTTTTTTTTTTTTCATTTTATTCCAATTCAAACACTTTCCCAAGTTTACACCTATTGCCTATAGGCTGTTTTCCTTCAATCAAAGGAATAAGAAGGAACAGAAAAAGAGTCACTCTACTCTCAGTTCTTATTTCTAGAGCCATAGAGGCTGGGAGAAGTACAGAGGAAGTCTGCTCCTAAAACCCATGAAGCCTCTCAGTACCTTTTAAGGCATGCTATATGCCTATACGCCTATGCTGCCAAATTTCCAATGCCTGCTCCAAATCCTGGATGAACTAAACATTAATCAAATGGTAGTAAGAATGTTCTAAGTAAGGTAAATACAGCACAATTCATTAACATTTACTTTTTAAAAAAGATAAAAAAGTGATCGTTACCCTGAGATTTTTTGCTAAAATTCTTCCTAACACAAAACTTGCTTATCCAAAATTAAACAACTGCAAAGCCTCCTGATGGAAAAGGTAAAGTAGCCTAAACTATAGGTGCTGATACTTGCTTGCCCTTGATGAATTCATAGATAGAATACAATTTAATAACATGAACAGTTGCTGGATGGAAAAGGGATCACCTGCATCACCTAAATAATTTATGATTCTTTAGATTTGTTTATTTCTCATGAACAGCAGTTAACCATTTTCCCTTCTCCTTAGCACAAATCAAACTGAGACCCAATACTCTGAAACCTTTATAAAGTGTCTTCTCAACCATCTCCATTTTTTGTATTTCTAGATGCATATAAAGCTGCTGTCTGTGAAGCTCCCTTGCTAAGAAAAAGCACAATTAATATGTATTTTGCTGTGTTTTCAACAAAATAACCAAAGAATAATCTCACTCACACCACTATACCTTGTGAATTTTGCATTACTGTTTCATTGTTGGCTGGCTGCATGACCTCATTAGTCATTAATTTCCACTCCTGTGACCTTCATGTAGCCAACCAGGTGGGCAGTGGTCAGTATAGAAACAATACCCCGATGCGAGGGCAACAGAATATAGATGCACTGAAACAGCAGAACCACGCTTAGCGTGTCTGCTAAAATGTGGAGACAGCACATTTATCTGGTTATTTGGAAAAAGAATATAACTGAAATAAGTAGATGTTCTTGCACTTGTCATTGAGAACCACTCTGCATTTATTTGGCACTTATAACAGTAGCAGCAGCAGCAGCATTGCCCTTGGTGCTGATTTCTTACTACTCTAAAATGTCTCCTCTGAGCCAGAATACACTGGCTGTTGCTGATCATGCTGTGAGACACCTGCACTGGCTACTAGGCTTGTCATGACGCACAAAACCCTACCATCTTCAGCTTGACATTGTGCAAGTTATAATTATTCATCCAAATGAATATGTCAGAGCAGCAGCAGCAGACCTCTCATCAGAGCAAAAGAAAAATACATCAAAACATTATCAACCCAGCAGGAAGACAGGGACCATAAGGAAAATTACCCATTTTTAATATGGATGCCATAAAGCCATGTCTATTATTATACGGGGGGGTGGGGGGTGGGTGGTGAAGAAAAAAACACCCACCCAACAACCCCTCAAGTTTAAAGTCCATGAGCACTGAAAAGAACCTGAAATAGGCAACAGCACACACAGGGGGCTGGGAAAAAAAATTAATCAATTACCTGAAACCTATTTATATTTTCTTTCATGGGAGTTTATATTATAACAGTGCAATTGCATAATTTTAGTTAAGCCTTGTCAGTTTCTACATTAAAGACCAGCAACAAATATTAAAATTTAAGACCTATCAGTATCAAACCTTCACGGTATCTTACTAGAAAATAGATACAGTGTGTTCTTTTTCCATTTTAGGAACAAAAATTTTCAACCACCCACCAAATTCTGCTACCAGAGGTATTTCAGCATTATCTAAGCTTAACCCTTATTTTACCAGGGCATGACAACTGCTCACTGCAATGATTTCCATGCATTTTGTACATAAACACACATTTTTTCCCAAAGTGCTAGGCTCACGTCACCCACACAGATAAGGGGAATTTTCAGAAAAGACCGTACAAGCTAAAGCATTTCTACCAGCACAGCACACAGGTTGCTGGTATTTGGTTCAGTATCACAGCAGGCTCTCTGCAGCCAGAATTAGCATCTCACAATTTCAAACGGGGTCTTCAGTTACATACAAACATCTATTGCTCATGTGTTCAAGAAGTCCATAGGTAATTTTAACCATAAAAAGATTTTACGATCTCAAGCATTAGAATGTCATGTTTTGAACTTCAGATTTTCACTTGGTTGTAGTGTCAATATTAATATATTCACTCCCATCTTTAACTTGTCAAAGAAGGCTGCTTTCATATCACATTTTTCAAGAGCTTTTTTATTAAAACATAAGTCCAGCTAGTAGCTTTAAAATTTCTAACAGTAAACACAGAGAAGCAATGACTGTCAAGGATATTTGAAATGTTGTTAATTCGAGGCAACATAAATTGTGAGGCTGTAAAATTAATGAAATGCTATTAGAAGTACGTATAAAGTTTGAGGTTAGAACCAGTAGTTGAAGTCCTGCCTGTAGTATCTGGAACACAGTATAATTTAAGGGAAAAACAGTATCTGTTTAAGTTGTTGCAAACCTTACCAGAGAATCAAAACCTAAAATTACATATATCTTCCATTTGCAATGGTCTACTCCTGCAGTTATTTCTTCAAGCTCTCACACTAGAGGATCTCAGGTGACATACAGAACCTCGACCTTTGCAGTCAAAATTATATGCCCTTCTTAAAATCATTCTGATGCAACCTTTCAGCCATGTTCCCTATGTAAATTTAGTAACCTAAAGACAGGCTTTATTGATGGGTAGACATCCTCACAAAAGTTAGAATTATGAAACGCAACCATTTATGTAAAATCTATTTTCCTGAATTAAATGAAATTAAACATCAACTATTTTCTAGAGATAATACAAATTAACTTACATCTAAGTGGCCACATTTAAATCCAGTTAATGAAGTACACATGCTCTATTAAGGAAAAAAGATACATGAAATAATGCGATAGGCACTAAAAAAAGACAATGGCTCTTGGTTCTTTATATTAACAATATCGGTTAAACTACGAAATCCTAATTCTACTAAGTACTTTCCCGTTGTTCTTTTGATTGTAACTGAAGTTTTATTATGTTATGAAATCAACCTGGAGGACCGCCTTTTTTTTAAATCTCTGTCAACTTTAGAGGGTGCAATCATTTCTTGTGCATATATTTTCCCAGTATTGTTCCTAAAGATATTTCAGCCGTCTGAACAGCTTAAGAAAAAAACAGCCAGTATGAGTGCAGGGCATACAACATGCAAGGTATATCTATATGGCAAGGAAAATATTTAAAACCCTATCATAAGGAATATGGAATTCAGTACTACTGCATTCAAATAAACATGTATCAAAGTAAAAAGCACACAAGGAAAAAAGCCGGTGTTAAAAAATGAAGTCCTGTCCCTCATTACAATCTACAAGATTGCATATTTATCTCAGTTATTAAAAAAAAAGATGCATAGTACAGCAGTTTACCTGTGGCATCCAAGAAATAGCAAACTGAACAGGAAAATCCACGAGGCAATCCGGTGGTTCTGTTGGATACTGAGGGAGGGAAAGAAAATACGGTTTTTCTTTTCTTTTTTCTTTTTTATTTTAAAAGAGATTTAAAGTCAGACTGATACTCAGCTGCCAAATTTGATAACAAAATATGAACACTTCAAGCATCTTGAGAACTTGGCTCTAAGAGGAAACAGTATGTAAAGCATTTTCAGAAATAGTTATGAATGTTAATTATCATTTAAAGAAGAAATCTACATGTAAACAGTTTTTATGTATCAGTTTTTACTAAAGGCAGCAGAATCAGAGTTTTCTGTGTTCAGTGTTCACAAAGACACATTAAAAAAGAACTTAAGACAAAAACCATCAAATATTAAAAAAAAAAAAACCAACCTCAATTACCTGTACTGGAAAGTTTAAAAATAAAACAACACAACCCTTTCATGAGTCAAAAACTCATTTACATTTAAACTAGAATATTTGCTCTGATTGGCAACATTTTTTTTTGTTTTGAAGTTGAAAGTAATCAGAGTAAGTACGTAATTTTAGAAAGAGATGAATGAACACACCCCTCAAATTAAAACAACTCCCTGCCCCCCGCCCCAAATGAGAAAGTATCAATGACAAAAAAAAAAAAAAAAGCTGTATTAAGAAAACTGAAGCTATAAAAGGTTTGATAACTCCAAAAATAACCACCGACTATTTATTACACTAGTAAACCTATTGCTGTTCAGCATCCAGTATGAAATCTGTGGGGAAAAAAAAAAAGGTATTTTCTGAAAAATAAAGTAGCAAAGGAAAGAAATATCTAATTACAAATAAACTGTGTCCTTCCTAAAATTCCAAAATTTTCGTCACCTGAGAAGCTGCCTCCTTTAGTCCTGTGTAACCTTTCAAATTCTACCAATGATGTACCCAGCAGTTTTATAGAAATGGTATTAGTATCGCATCAGTTGTCAAAACAAGAAAATTTTACCGATAATCTCATCTGCAGAGACATATGAAAAAAACGTCCCAGCTTCCTCACAGAATTAAGGAGAGTCAAGACAAAGATGCTGTGCTAATGATGTGTTTAGCTGTGCTGCTTCCTGTAACCATTCTCCATCCAAAGTCAACCTCCAGACATAGACACTGTCCTTATTTATCAGACATCAGGCAATTGATTTATCAGAATTTTTTAATGTGTCTATATCAAATGTAATTCTATAGTAATTAGTTTCCAATTGTTCTCTGTGGCAAAGAGCAAAAAAGAGACATAGCTTCCCTAGAGCATCCATTCTTCATTGCTTTGATTTTAACAATAATCTAGTAGATTTATGGATTTCACAGAAATTTCTTTAAACTTGCTTTTTTAATTGGCCTTCATTTGTCGTTCCTGCTAGGTATCCACTTCCTGAAGACAACTCCTACAACTTTAATATCTTGTGCTTTACCATTTTACCAAATCGGTGGCAGACAAGCAAAAGAACAGTGACAGAGCAAGAGCTGTGAAACAACTGATTTGGACACAAGGCAGTTCCACCTTAGAAATGTATATCCACAAAAATGGTTACAGTTTCTTTTATTGTAGTGTTACTGTTCTTATATTGTAGGCATTGTAGTGTTAGTGGGTTTGTATTGTAGGTATTATTTTTCATGAAAAACTTAAATGCTTGCATAGAAATAAACTTGTTTTCAATGTATAAAAGTAAGCCTAGAACAAACCAAGTCAGAACAATTTTTCTGTAGGATTGGTTTTAGGACTACCTCACTGAAATCCCAGCAGCATCAGCCAATTACGCGTTTATTTTCTCAGTAAGTAAATTCATTTTATGCAGCCTTTTGTAGGGTGCCTCTGAACAAGTGCTTGCAAACAGATTCTACTAACTTCATATTACTTAAAAAAAAAAAAAATCAAACCAAAAAACCTACAGCACTTTTCCCCTGCATTTTTAGTCAAATTTTCAAGAGCATATTGTACTGTGCAACAGATGATTGCCAAGAACTATGCAACCATGATTCTGTACATATGTACATAAAGTTTTTAGACCTTGCAGAGCGAAATCCAATATAAAATAAGGTGAGTGATTCCCCAGGAGATAGTATTTTCAAATACTATACCAGAACATATCAATGACATCATATGTTACTAGTTAAATTCAAATGTATATGTCAGAAATCATCCTATTGTTCTTTAGAACACTTTAAGTAATTATTAAACAAAATATTTATATTGGATTTTTCAACATTCAGCTAACTTTATCTAGAAAAAGTATTTTCATAACCCTTGCCAAGTCATTTGGATAATTACCAAAGCATCTTGATTACTACATGGCATGCAAATTCTTGCAGTGTCCTATCCAAATTCTTGGGATCTGAAATGGTGAGCACCCAACCCACTTCTCATGCAATACAAAATGAAATCTAATAAATAAAACCCATTGTGTTTGGTTTTATACTTGCAAAGATGTGTGCTTTGCTTTCAGAAAACTTCTCTAGTCATTTATTTAAACTGTGAATGGAGAAAGATTTCTGGACCAGGCATTTTCAACCAAATAAATCAGAAAACTATTTCACAAAATGTAATCTGAGCATTAAACAATCTATCCTCTTCTGAAGTTTAAGCCTAATCATTCACAAAAGTCAAAGTTGTGTCGCACATGATTTGGCCAACATACCTATGATACGACCGTTCTCAATTCTTCCACGTTTAGGTTGATCACCCCACGTTTCCCAGACACTTTACAAATGCAGTTTATAGAGCGCAAGTGTTTTGGAAGGCAGCTCCTAACACAAGGCACATTAAGACTAGAATAACAGGTGGAAACATTTGACAATGCACTAAGGAAAGTCCTCAAAACACATCCAAACCATTAAGAATCACAGCAAAAGAATACTTAGGGGATTATCTCAATACACATGCTAAGCTTCTGACAATGAACTTCCTAAATCACTTATTGAAGAGGTTCTTCCTGAAAACACTGTCAGCAGGCTTATAAACTCATTTCACTGTATGGCATCATGAGGGCAAGGCTGAACAAACCCATCTGCCAGAATACAGACAAGTGTCAGCAATATATGCCGGGGAGAGGTTTAGCTCACATACTAACCTTAATCAAAGAAACAGCATAACAAAAGTAGGCATACTTTTATTAAAGCAAGTTATCAAAAGAAACCCCTTGAAAAAAAAATACTGCAAAGTCTGTTCAAATGTATTAGATATGTATATGAAGGAAAATCAAATCCCCATGTCACCAAAACCATGTTTCACATATAAATTTTTTCTTGTGGCAAGTTTAAATGCCAGACATGGTTTAAAAAGGACAGGAACTCATCCATCATTGTAACTATCACTTTAAAAGAAAAAGAAAAAAAAAAAAAATTGATGATTACTTGTTACAACAGACAAGTTGGATAATCTAGTCTCTCTATTACACTAGATCCTTAGTTGTTAGATGGTGCTTTCTTCTGCTTCGGAGTCTCAACTTCAGCTATTTTATTACTATAAAGAAAATAAACAAGTTTTTACAAGAACAGAAAACTGTAATCTCGACTCCCCTTACGGTACAGTGATAAGCTAAGGCTGAACAGAACTAGCCAATGCGTAAGTGTAATAGTGCTTCACCACAGCAGCTGTGTGGTAAAAATGTTTGGGTTTTTTTTCTGTGCATTTATACTTCCCACTAGTTAAAATACTTCAGTCACCATAAAATCAAGAAAAAACTTAGGGGCATCAGGCTGCACTCAATTTCTCGTGTCCTACTAAGTATGGGATAGCAGCTCCCTTATAAACCATGACAATACAGTCTGGTTCCTCTCCTCGCACATTAAATAGACCGTAATTGTACTTCCCGATATTTTTTTTTCCATCAGTGTATTTAATAATGGGCTGACTAACAAATTAATTATGCATTCATTACTCTGTGCATGTAGGATAGTTTTACTCTTTTTTTTAAATCCGTTTCAGCAACCTCAATTCCCAAAGAGTACTTTTTCCACAGGCTCCTTTTTCCCCTCTAAGGTAAAATTAGCTTGTCTTCTGTAAAACTACGGAACTCCTGGTGTTTCAAGGAATACAGGATGTCAGTGAAGGTGAGATTTAGTCTTACAATACTGTACCCACTCCTCATCCCTTTAAGATTATTACTCCAGATGAGGGACCAAAGATAGCCCCAAACAACAACATTTAGACACTTTTGAATCCAGGTTTTCCCCTAGACTGATTTTCTGAAGACCACAGGAATTACCATACAATTGTCACCATACAGCCTGGATATTTATAGTTTCTGATAACAGAATCATGCCTTGAAATGAGAAATTCTCTGAAGAAACATTGCAATTTGAGTTCAATTCTAAGTACCAGGAAGAACTAAATTTTTTGTGTGCTTCTCCACACGTCATGGATTTACTTTGCAAGCACTGTCAAAATCAGCCAATTATTTAGACTAAAAAAAAAAAAAATTCAACATAAGGAGCTCACTTCTGTAGTCAATTTTCCATAAATCTTTATACCTACAGCTTTAATAGTAAGACTTGCTAAAGAAGCAACTCAACATCCCCTCATTCTTGTTATATGCATAGTCTCTGGATGGAGTGATAAAGAATGAAAGTCTCCCAGATGGTTTTGTCTATAATCCAACAAAATAATTGCAATATCATAAAGTGTTTTTAATGTAATGCACAGTTTCATATGAAAAGATTCCTACAGATAACCATAACGCAGTATTAATTTTAAATAGTTGAAGTCTGAAAACTATATACAACAATTTCTCAAAAAAAAAAACCCCACCACCATTACCTTGCAGAACAGACATACCAACAAACAAAGCAACTCTCTAAAATCCTTATGAATTAAGAAAAATCCATTTATTTCAGGGAAGCCTTAAAATATTGTCTCCCACATAAATTCACCTTTGCATTTAACTTCAGAGTGATGAGATGCTGTCGACCACCTGAGTCTTCAGCTCTTAGCCTGATTGCGGTAAGACCAGTATCCACATATGCAACTCTGAAAGAGAAAAGAAAACCCTAACAGCATTGTAAGAAGTACAGTTTGAAATGTCTGCAATACTCTGATTAGTCTGTTGCAAATATTAAGCAGAGGAAGTCCTATATGCCAAACCATTTCTGCTGTTCTAGATTTACTGCTGTTAATACACCAGTCTACTGCTTAATGCAGTCATATATCTTTGGGTTATTTACAATGTGTGTCAAGGCTCATGCTGTGGTCAGTGAGCACTGTGTTTCAGTTTTCCATCACTGGAACCTCTGACACACACAGCATGTTCCTGTCAGCCTCTACTTATGTACACATTAAACTTCCTGTCAAATCTTTGATCCATTTCTGCAGTTTCTTACTGTATGAGACTTTTATGCTCTTGATTTGCTTTTGTCTTCAATGAAGTTCTCTTTTATTATCAATAGTATTATTGTGGAAAATTCAGTGGATATTGGTTCATATTCTGAAATTGATTTTCTGCTGAAAATAGTACCCAAACAGGTACAAAATGAGTTATTTATGATGATTTGCCTTTGTTTCGTGACAGTTTTACACAGTATATATGCACCCAAGCAAGTAGCAAGTACATACTAAATGTAAATAAGTTTTAAAACTTATGACATAATCACTGACTCTTTACTTAAGATGTCACTGATTTGTGCTTTCCACAACAATGAAGATGAACACAATTGTAAAAAACATTGTTCTCCAGAAATATGTTCTGCTGAGTAGCTTCAACAACTGCCAAAACGGTTCAGACTTCTCCATATATTTACCAGTGAACTGGGCATGTGGATATTTTAGCATTTTTACTATGCAATTCTTGTGCAAAGATAAAAAGCAGCCTAAGATTATTGTGCAACTTATCACTTAGACTGATGAAAAGGCCCATCAGAGTTCAAAGAAAGCATCTGCTTGCTGGCCTAAGTAACATTTTTTTTTTTATAGAAGCCTGTACAAGAAAATGCGGACATACACCAAAGGGTGTGCACATTCCTAGGAAGGAAGGGAAAAGAAAAGTGATCTACACAAATGACAGAGCCTCAATATGAGGGAACTGAAAAATACAGACGGAAAAAGCAGTAGTGGTAGGAAGCAGGGGAAGAGATATATTATTTCATGTTTAATGTTGATTAACTTTAATGCAATATTAAATAGTCCTAGAGATTCCTGGGAGTATTTTGACACTCTTTTCTCCACAACAGCTGAAAGAAATACAAGTCTTGATAAAAGTGTAATTCAACTGTAGTGAATTAAACTCGATTCATGCAGAAAGAATTAGAGCATTCTTCCTCTAATTGGAAAAAACCATTACTCCTGCTTTGTTCTGACTTTACCTCAAAATTATACCACAAAGTTTTACAAAGATAAGAAACCACCTACAACCCACCGCTCCATCTACTATTGCCTGGGGTGGGGAAATCCTAAACCAGCAGCTAAGGCACAGAATGATTACTGCAATAAAATATATAGCAGTGTCCAAAACAAAGCACAACTGATGCCTGCATCAATGCACTTTGAGGACAGATAGGAAGAGAGAATGGAAAAATTAAAGGCATGCTGTCAATGTAGTTAGGATTTAAAATCATCTGTTCTGACAGCCACTCTTGAGGTGCCAGAAAGGTATGGATTATTTTAGTTTAAAATCAGACATTTTTGCAGTTCCTTGCTCTATCTGGGGTGGGAGGGAACAAGATTAAAAAATTATTTTTATTTCTTATACAGCAATGGACATCCATGTCTCAATGGACATCCATGTCTTAAAATTTACTTCTGAAATCCTTGAGAGTTCAGTACTTTTACAATTAGTTTAACAACCTGACAACCTCAAAAACATATATACATGTGTACACCTATTTACATATTTAAATTATAAACATATGCACACCATTATATTAAAAATAGTGTTATTATGTTCAATTGTATTTGTAAAGAACGTTCACATTCAGTTTTATTAACAATGTAAATTAGACAAACTTAAAAAAAAAAGTAAGCATTTGGAAAAGGTGCTAAGAGCACCAATAACGGCTACCTGTTTAATTATGTATAGAGGGATACATCACAAAATTATTTTCAAGTTCCATCTGTTATTTAATTTTTAACATATTTTTAGTTTCAGAATTCTATTTAAAGCATCTTTTAAAACGAGTTTAGAGTGTGATTTTCACTGAGCTTGGAGATAACAGAAAAAAACCTGTAAAAAATGTAATCACTGCTACGAAGCGCCACTACAATCCAGACCAATCTGGAAATTCTTATGACTTTTAACTAATTCTGACTTCAACAACTAGCCACTAGTAGATCAAGCTAAGCAATGCAGCACCTTTTAAGTATTATTCATTACAAGCCATGTACTTGGAGGTTTTCTAATAAAACATTCTCTTCCCTTTCAAACTTTTTCACAAACGGGAACACCAAGGAATAAAAAACTCCTCAGACAAGGGGCATACAGGGTTGACAAATGTCCAGAACGTAAATTCATAGCTAGCCTCCTTCTAAACAGTAAACCGCCTCTGGGGAATGAAGGAGGATTCAATTTTCCATTTAGGATAGAAAAAAGGAACTCAGTAGCTTTGTGGCTACCTGCTCTGTGACATACATCACTCTACCATTCTTTGGATAAGAAGAGATTAAAGGGTCAGTTTCGTAGGACTGGAGAAAGTTGAACAAGGCTCTAAAAGTGCATAATCAAATAAGGAATTGTTTACACAGGTGATACTTCAGTTATACTGTCCTGGTTTCATCTGGGATAGAGTTAATTTTCTTCATAGTAGCTGGCATAGAGCTGTGTTTTGGATTTAGTACTAGAGGAATGTTGATAACACACTGATGTTTTAGTTGTTGCTGGGTTGTGCTTAGACTGGCCAAGGACTTCTCAGCTCTGCCAGGTGCACAAGAAGCTGGGAGGGGACACAGCCAGGACAGCTGACCCAAACTGACCAAAGGGCTATTCCATACCATATGATGTCATGCTCAGTATATAAGCTGAGGGAAGAAGGAGGAAGGTGGGGACGTTTGGAGTGATGGCGTTTGTCTTCCCAAGTAATGGTTACGCATGATGGAGCCCTGCTTTCCTGGGGATGGCTGAACACCTGCCTGCCCATGGGAAGTGGCGATTGAATTCCTTGCTTTGCTTGTGTGCGCGGCTTTTGCTTTACCTATAAAACTGTCTCTATCTCAGCCCACGGCTCTTACCTTTTTTTTCTTCTCAATTCTCTCCCCCATCCCACTGAGGGAGGGGGGGAATGAGCAAGCAACTCCATCATTTTAACACATCAAAAAATGGAATGACCGTAAAGATGTACATTACTGAATTACATGACTACACTGGACAAAAGCACAGCATAAGTTGCGTGTCTACATAAAGACCATCTTTGCCTAGAAACCAGATCAAATTCTGCCCTAGAAGCATGCTCTCTGATAAAACACTGACATGCTTTTTAATAATAAACCACTGGGTGTTTTGTATGTACAGCAAGTCAGAAGAAATATCAGTTCTGAGACAAGCTACTAAATTGTATTTTCAAAGTGTATTATTAGCGTACTTAGCTATATACTATATTTAAATATCAAATTATAAATATAGAATCATAGAATGTTTTGGGTTGGAAGGGACCCCTAGAGGTCATCTAGTCCAACCCCCCTGCAGGAGCAGGGACACCGCTAACTAGATCAGGTTGCTCAGAGCCCCGAACAACCTGGCCTTGAATGCTTCCAGGGATGGGGCCTCCACTACCTCTCTGGGCAACCTGTTCCAGTGTTTCACCACCCTCTTTGTAAAGAATTTCTTCCCTATATCTAGTCTAAACCTACCATGGTTTAGTTTAAAACCATTACCCCTTGTCCTGTCACTGCTGGCCCTACTAAAAAGATTTTCCCCATCTTTCCTATAGGCCCCCTTTAGGTATTGAAAGGCTGCAATCAGGTCTCCCTGCAGCCTTCTCTTC